GTGAAATATCAATGCATACATGCATGTTCATATCAACTAACAAATTATTTATACACATATAACTAACACATTTTTTAAATGAATGAATGAATTATTAATAAATTATTATTATTATTATAATTGAAATAGTTTGAAATATTCAGAATCAGTATATATCAGAAATATTATATATATCAGAAAATCAATTTGACAGCCCTATACTTCTGTGAATATTTGTAAATAAGAAATACAATTTAAACATTTTCAGACATTTTACAATAATTAGCCATAATTTACTGTTTTTTATTTATTTATTTATTTATTTGCAGTCTGGTATGATGAAGGTAATAACTTATTTTCTGGTAATTAATTCAATAACTGCTCCAACTGATTCATAAATATTCCTGATTCACTAAAAGGAACCACTCATTCTCACCGAGATTGTTGCTTTCTTTTTTAAGAATTAGTGCTTGTTATACTTTTAAAAATGTTTATACTGTTATGTTTCTAGCCACCTTGTTCTTATAGGAATAGTTCACCCAAAAATGAAAGTTTGCTGAACATTTACCCACTCATTTACTCTATCCAGGATGCAGATGAGTTTGTTTCTTCATCAGATTTGGAGAAATGTAGCATTGCATCACTTGCTCCTCTGCAGTGAATGGGTGCCGTCAGAATGAGAGTCCAAACAGCTGATAAAAACATCACAATAATCCACACCACTCCAGTTCATCAGTTAGTGTCTTGTGAAGCTAAAAGCTGTGGGTTTAAAAGAAATCCATCATTAAGACTTATTTACCTTCGAACAGTTGTTTCTGGCCAAAATCCATAATCCATAATAACGCTTCATCCAGTGAAAAAGTACATCCCCTGTTGTCACATCAAAATCCACCCACATATTTGTTTAAAGCTGTTTTGGCTTGTAAATGGTGCAGATTTCTCTCCCGATTCAGACCATAATGCTTTTTCACTCTTGGTGTACTTCTATCAAATAATGAATCAACCGATAGATCTTGGGATAGTCTTGGGAATCACTAACCATAAGTGTGAGCAGTAGTAAGAGTGATGCTTGTTTTATCGACTATAGCACTAACAACATCTTAACAGTGACTGCAAAACTAGTTTGGCAGTGTGATGAAAACCTTCCTCGGAACAGAAGACAGTCCTCGTGTGTTAAAATGTGAGTAGCTTATTTATAGTGAGTGTTGTATATAAGAGTTTGTGTGGTCGTGTGACACTGAGCTGCTTGTTCTGGGTTATTAACAGATGAGATGCAGCCGGTTACCAAGGATACAGCATCTCCTCCTCTTCACACGTCTCTGCTGCTCACTTAAAGAAAGCACACATCCACTGTTCTGTCATTGTTTGCTCACTCGTGTGACGTTTCAAAGACAAACAGAGAATTTCTGAAGAATTTTCACGCACACTGTAAAAAATGACCGTGAATTTAACGGTAAAAGACTGTAAAAATGCTACAGTAAAAACCTGTTAAATGGTTAACGGTAAATTCCCCTACTATATACGGTGAAAAACTGTATTGGGCATTACATGTATTGGACATAAATTTTACGGTAGTATACCGTTTTTGGAAGTGAAAAAAAACGTATAATTTACAGTGAATAACCGCAAATTGACATTCCCAGAATTCCCTGAATTGCATTTCAAATTTGATGTTTTTTTTTGTTGAAATAACTATGTTTCTTCTTAGTTTTTTCTTATCAGTTTTGTATATTAGGGTTGTGTGTACACCTAATGTTGTTAAATGAATGTTTATTGCATTATTTCAGTTTCATGTGTGTTACCATGATGGTGTTTGGTGTTTGTGTGAATGACACTGTGCACATTCTATATATGTTATTATTTAAAAGCTGCTTGTGATGGGCTTTGGTTCATCATGTGACTTTCTCATCACCACCTGCATTTGGTGGTTATCAGTGTATTACAAAGGTACAAAACAGATTTCAGTACTTCAATAGGTTGGTATATTAACATTATATCAGTTAATGAAATTACAGTATTTAACTGTAAATTTAAGTTAAAACCGTAAAACCTAAAACGTTGCTACCGTATTTTTTACAGTAAAATTCCGGCAACCACAGCTGCCGTTTTTTTTCCGTAAATTTTACGGAATTTTTTTTTACAGTGCAGCTTTTTCAATATTCATTAAAAATCATTTGAGAGGAAGATTATTAGTGAAAAACAGCTTCAGGGATGAGTTTTTTCCATGTTACAGATTTCCATGTTTTCTTTTATTATTATTACTTTTTTATTTTACAGCACAATAGTAATATATTCCTTTGTTGATTTCATTAATTATTATAATTTAAATGATAAATAAATAAATATTATCATTATGGTTGTTATTTATTTCTCAGAGAAAGTAATACATTTTATCGATTTGTTTAATTATTATAATGTAAATTATATTTTAATAATGATAATAATATTATTGTTTAATTTTATAGTACAATACTAATATATTCTTTTGTTGATTTCTTTAATTATTATTATTTAATTTAATTAGTTTTTCTAATTCAAATTATAATAAAAAATAATACATTTAATATAATTATGAAAATAATATTAATAATTATCATTAGTCATGCTGAATGGGAAAAACTAAGTTTTTTCCTCTTTTTGGTCTTTAGCTGATCACATGCCTGCAACATTTCAGTTGATTTCTCACACAGAGCTTTTATGTGACTTCAGAAGACTTGGAATATAGTGCACACGTTGTATGTTTTTTTTTTTTTACTGAACTATACATTTAATCTTTCTTTAATCTGTGTATTTATCTCTGATTTGCTGTTTTTCCTCTCTCCCCTAGCATAAACAGATGCTCAGTAAAGGAGAAAGAAAGAGAGAGAGAGAAAGAGAGAGAGAAAGAAAAAGCCAGATAGAGATGTTATTATATCTGTGTGATCATCTGTGCTGATGAGGGCACGTCGACACGACTCCACATTAGTCTGAAATATAGACGATGCTTTCAGAGAGTTCATGCTCTCCATTTGAATTCTCCATTAAACACTACAGTCTTTATGACGACTGCGTGCGTTTCATTAGTCACATCTGAGTGCACATCTCTCTGAGCTGTAGTATGTCACATATGTTGTAACTCTCCCTGGTTTAGAGGCTGTAATCCACGCTGGAACAGGGAAGTTCATCATAACTTGGCAGAAAGTTGAAAAACCTTTTAGGTTATTTAGGCCTTATGAACTGTGAACACTGGGACCGTTTGAAGAGAGAGTAGTGGTTTGCTAGACTGATGCTAAGCAGTTACTAAGGTGTTCTAAGTGGTTGCTAAAGGGTTGTGGGTGGTTGTTAGGGTGTTGCTAGGTGGTTAAGATTTTCTGAGTGGTTGCTAGGGTGTTGCTAGGAAATTATTATATTCAGTGGCTTCTCCTACGACGGAAACGGTGCTTTATTCGCAAATGTTTTATGTGATATTCCAAGTTAAATTTGCAGCTTTGGATGAAAACATAGCTATTGATTATTGAGAAATGAGGATTTGATCATGCACTTAGTTTGATCAAGATTTATGTATTTTAATTGCATATAAGATGTACGTCCATTTGGATTACAGTTTTAACATAAACAGTCAGCCATACATAAGAAACAGAGAATAAGAATCGTTTATTTATGTATGGCTGACAAATAAGCATCACATTAAAGGAAAAGTTCAACCAAATATGAAAATTTGCTGAATATTTATACTCACCCTCAGGCCACACGACAGGTAGATGAGTTTGTTTCTTCATCAGATTTGGAGAAATGTAGCATTGCATCACTTGCTCACTCTGCAGTGAATGGGTGCCGTCAGAATAAGAGTCCAAACAGCTGATAAAAACATCACAATAATCCACAAGTAATCCACACCACTCCAGTCCATCAGTTAACATCTGGAGAAGACAAAAGCTGCACGTTTGTAAGAAACAAATCCATCGTGAAGACGTTTATAACTTCAAATCATTGCTTATACATCCATAATAACGCTTCCTCGAATCAGGATGACCTGAGAGTGAGTAAAGCACATTTTCAGCAAGTTTTCATTTTGGGTGAACTATTCCTATAAGCTGGATTCACATTGTCGGTTGTGGCAGATTAGGAAAGAAGACCCTTGGGGTTTGACGTTACTAACAGCTCGATGTTGTTTGTCTTGCAGGTGTTGAACCCGATGGGCTGGGATGCGTTTGGTCTGCCGGCTGAGAATGCCGCCATCGAACGAGGCCTGGACCCAGAGGACTGGACCAAAAGGTGCGGAGCCGAGGGACGCTCGATGCTTATCCAAACACTCACAACTACACACACATAACGATCCAATCTAATTATCCCGCACGCCTCTCTCTGTGTCTTACAGTAATATTGAGTCCATGCGGAAGCAGCTGGACAGTCTGGGGCTCTGCTTTAATTGGGATCGGGTGAGTGAGAGCCTGCATTCAACAGATGGGGGACCTGATCTTAACTTCGGTGTCTTGCATCATTGCATCAGTATACTTTCTTATCTCAGACTTGGTGCCAGAGGTTTTTCCTCAGAGACACACTGTTTGAGTTAAAGAGTTTCTGCATCAAAGTGCATTGCAGCAGACGGTACAGCACAGCTGTGATTATTGCTTTCTTAAAATAGTTACAACAGAATAAAGATAATAAGGTCACACATTTATTTAAACCATTGTTTTAAATCCGTTTCCTAAGGTAATGGAAAATATGAAAAAGTAATGGAAATTTTGGACATTTCCACTCCTTTATGCCAATAGTGCACTCTGATTTACAACCCATGTACACTCACTGACACTATATTGACCATAATGCAATGTGGAGAGGATTGCTAAACTAAAAAAATCATGCTGGATTTTTACTTTTTTTCTTTTAAGTATTGAAATATAAACTACTGTTCAAAAGTAGAAAAAAAAAAGGTTTGGGGTTGGTAAGATTTTTTTTGGAAAGAAGCCTTTCTGCTCACTTAAGCCGGGCTCACACTACAGGAGTTTTAAAACGCTAACCGATTATGAAATCTGGTTGCAGCACACACATAAGGAGAATCTTTGCAGATTATCTTCCCTCAAATCTTAAACATGCACACACTACAAGATTTTAACATCGTGGCGCATCACACACACTACAAGATATTATTAAGATTATCATGCCAGAGGGAGCGCCTCACGTGATCTCACGCAGCAGATCGTCATTGATATTTCAGTGATGTATTGTTAGCTAGCATGCTAGCAGCTTTCTGCACTCACCCGGTACGTTCAAAACTGAGGCGATTTCACCCCAGCGGTCATTGATATTTCAGTGATGTTTACAAATGTTAGCTAGTGTGCTAGCTGCTTTCTACACTCACCCGGTACATTCAAAACTGAGGTGATTTCACTCCAGCGCTTCTCTTTCTACTTACGGTTGTGATACGTTTTCAACACATTATACAAACAGTCGTGTTACTATAAAACGTCAAGAAGCAGTTTCCTCCGTCTCCACAATCTAACGGGGGCCGTACAGCAGCTGTTTTGCGGTCGCGCATTGGCTATTGTGAAAGTACTGACGTAATCATATAGCCGTCATCATCCCGATTTAAATCCTAAATATCAAACATGTTTGATATGATCGGGGCGGCCCCGATTTGTGTGCGAGCAGATCTGGAGGTGCAAGATTCGATCGGTGAACGCCTCACATTACCAGATAATCCGCGCCGACATGATTTTTGCTCCGATTCTCGGGAGGGGGAAATCGGGGCTAAATCGGGCTAAAAATCCTGTAGTGTGAGCCAGGCTTAAGAGAACATTAAGAAACAACATTTGCATAACTTAATGGAAATGTTAGCAAAACGTTATTAGAACATATTTTTGTTAGCTAATGTTCCTCCACTATAAGTTGCAATCAGTTACAATTGAGTTTTCCGGGAATTCCTACAGTCATGCCAGTGGTTCGGAACTGTGTGGAATGATCTCGCTTTTAATGTTGGAGTATCAAATCCTCCAAATGCTCCACACCCGGTCATTAGTGTCTTTAAACAGGTAAGACCCAGATGCTGCACATTCCGGGCATTATAAAAGATAAGTCACAGACTATAATACAAACGGCATAACAGTAAAACTGAATGCTCTTCTTCTTCGAGGGGCTCGACAAGATTTTTGCTCCGATTCTCGGGAGAGGGAAATCGGGGCTAAATCGGGCTAAAAATCCTATAGTGTGAGCCAGGCTTAAGGCTGCACTTGTTTGATCAAAGATACAGTAAAGCATAAATATTGTGAAATATTACTGCAATTTAAAATAACTGTTTTCTTTGTGAATGTATAGTAAAATGTAATTTATTGATCAAAGCTGAATTTTCAGAATCATTACTCCAGTCTTCAGTGTCACATGATCCTTCAAAAATCATTCTGAATTTGCTGCTTCTTATTTTTGTGGAAACCATTTTTAATTTTTTAGGATTATTTGGTGACTAGAAACAGCATTTATTTGAAATAGAAATTTGGTAACATTTTTAACATTATAAATGTCTTTACTGACACTTTATATCAATTTAATGCATCGGTGCTGAATAAAAGTAGGGATGCACGATATTATCGGACCAATATCGGAAACGGCCGATAATGGCTTTAAATGTATTAAATGTAATCGCCCCGATATGAAAAATTATGCCGATATGTCTCGCCGATAAGAGGAATACATTAACTCCATTAACTCAAGGGTGTGCTAGCGATTAGATCACGTCAACAGTGCGATTAGATCATGTCAGCATTGTGGCTCATTCTTGAAGCAAAGTTTTGCCTGAATGGTGGATTAGATTCACTGAGAGATTAGATTTAAACTGAGAATGCACGCACAGAATGAGCGTTCAGTGTATGATAGAGTAAAACAGTAGCACGTGCAGCGGCAACAGCGGCAGTCTCCCCCGGGTTCTAATGCCCGTTCGGTAAAGAGTTAATTCCGTAGGGGGCGCTGTTGTCCTACTTCTAATAAAATTAAAGTAAAATACATAAATAACATTTAGACTGCGTTTCTGATTAAATAAAGCAGTAATTGATGCCATAAAATAATGAGTATGTTTTGATTTAAAGGTCAGAAGCTATAGCTTACATGAATTGAAAA